TCACCGATTTTCAAAAACTGCAAGGATTTTTGTCCTTGCCGTAGTAGTAACCTTGTGTAAAAATTTCGTCCAAATCCGAGCGGTACTATTCTATCCGTTACACAGACCGACAGAATGGCAGAGCGATAGACCGACCGACAGATAGAACATGTACATATACGTGTCATATAAAAAACGTAACATCTTATTTTCGAAATTATTCGCGATTCCAATACCTCATCGCCCAGTGGCGTAGAAAGTGAATGGTGTTATTTGACTGTTTTTTTGATAGTTAGGCCGTCGTAAAATATTTTTACTTGACGTTTCGCCAACACCAGTGGTTGGTATCTTCAGAAGATGCCAGTAAAAATATTTTATGACGGCCTCACTTCCCAAAAACTAATCAAATAACACTGGATGATAGCCGCGAAAGCCTTTCGCCTTTCAAGTTCAATGGTCATCTAAAAATGCAGTTTCTACAGCCTCCAATTGTGACATTTTTTTGTAAAAACTGCCACAAATATTTTAAAAAACGGCAAGTTGAATGATTTTTAAAGTTTAAGTTAGCAGTAGTTAATGTTCTAAAGCCTCTTAAATTTGGATTTATTATGATTATTTTTGGACGTTTTCATAAAAGTGTGTTTCTCACGACAAGTTCTTCAATCCGAATACCGTCTAAAGGTCTTACACGATTCAGTGCTGTGCTACATAAGCTTGTCCAGCGGCAAACAGTTGCGAGCCTAGATAAATGACTGCATGATCGACTGTACCAGATTGCATCTTGTGGACGGTCGAAGCCCAACTCAGGCTTAATGGCAACATTCGCAATGAACAAGGTACCTTAAAAAAGTATCTGCCTCCTTTGTGCTGTGTCGACTGCCCGAACCATCAAAGAGTGCATGCGCAGATCGCGTGCTAGCTCTTTCTCTCTTACTCCCCTACAGAGGATCTATAAAAGAATTTATCAATCCTGGCGGTCCTAATAAGAATAATGGAAAACTGTTATCAAATTATTGCATTGTCATCGGTCCTTGATACGTGTGCGAAGTTTCAAATTAATCAAACTTCTAGAAATTGGTGAAAATTATGCTAAAGTTTCCAGTACATACATACATAATAATAATAATAATAATAATAATAATAATAATAATAATAATAATAATAATAATTTTTATTGGAATGTTTATACATAAAAATATAAAAACGACAACATTCCAAAAGGAAAGAGGATTGGCAGGGCCATTTTTCACCTCCCCCTAAAAAGTTAACTTCATGAGCGTTTTTTAACATCAACAGAATGATTAGTATTCACCACAAATATTATGCACAACACAGTATATAATATGATATAGTCTGAGTGTTAATGGAGGATAGTGTAGCAAGCGTCATAAATTTAATTTGTGGATTCAAATCTTTGCAGCTGTAGTAGCACTTTTTCCATCTCATTTCTGAAGTTTTGGATGGAAGCTGCTTCAAAAAGTACTAAATGATCGTTTAGTAGATATGGTGCCGTGTAAGTAAAACATTTTTTGAATTTAGATGTTGTATGAACTGGAATATTGAAGTATTCATCGTTGCGTAAGGAAACTTTACGGAGTGAACATCTCTTCTCCAAAGCAATAAACAGATATCTGGGTAATTTATATTTTAAAACTTTATATAGTAGAGTTCCATACTGAAGTAATACACGATACTTGAATTTTAAAAGATTTTCTCTCACATAATATCCAGTAATATGTTCTTGTATATGTATATCTTTGAAACAGAATCTCATGCAGCAGTTTTGTAATACTTGAATTTTGTGCTTCATTTCTTCCGTCAGAAAATTATAATATACTGTAGCGCCATAGTCTAGGTGAGTGAGGATTAGTGCATTGGTAAGCCTTAATTTTATATCGCTGGTTAAAACATGTTTGTATCTCCAAAGTGACTTGTATTTACATTAGCATACTCGAAGTTTATTAATGACATGGTTCTCAAAACTTAAATTTGTGTCCAACAAAATGCCTAAATTCTTAGTCTCCTCTACAATTTTAACAGATGTATCACCTAAAACAATGGATGTACTCATCAATCCTTTAAATTTTGTAATATTTAACCTATAACCAATGCAGCAAGCTTTAGTTTTTGTGGGATTCAGTTTCAAACAATAATTTTTGGAATAGTTTGCAATCATTTCTAGATTTACATTTAACTCTTTAATCAATAAATTAACTTCATTTGGCTTGCAAGCTTTATACATTACATACAGAGTAACCGAGGCCACCTTCCAAAAGGCTGGAAAAACTTCAGCTTGGTTTCGGGAAAAACAATTATAGAAATTTCCATTGCTTCTGGTAGAGTTCGATCTTTACCCGACGCTTTTCCTATCTTAGTTTCTGCTGCCGCCTCCATTAACTCATCTGTCGTTACGGGACTGATACCATTGGATACCTTTTGAAAACTTCTCCTCGCTTTGGGAACTGATGTTCTATGATGCTCAATCTTTGTTCGCTTGAAAGCTTAAGAGGGAGTGAGTAGCATTTTATCTGCGTAATCACGATATGATATGACGAGCCCCGGATGTTGTTCTCAAGATCACTGTGTAATTTTTTTCAGTGCATCTTTTTGAGCTGGCTATAAGCTTTTTTCAGCTCCTTTCAAGCTGATTTGTATCGTTCCTGTATAGCTTACCATTCCTCTCTGCCAATCATTTGATTCGCTCGCCCTCTTGTGGGTATGTTCTTTTTTTCGCTTTGGATATAAACTATTCTATTGCTATGCTATTCTCAGTTACCTCCGTTAGGAGTGCCATTAAATCCTTGGAGTACGCAATATCTGCATGGCTTACGCATTTTTGTTTCTCCTCAAAAGCCTTGCCATCAAAAAGGAACCTTGTACCCTTAACTTCTTACTCGATGCCTCATGTATGTGCAACTCAAAGCAAATATGGTTATGATACCTCAGAGTTTCTCCAATTAGTACTACCAATTAGACATTTTGGCAGATACCCTAGGTGTGACATCGGTCACGTCAATTAATCACTGTCTCCTCTCTCAAACGTTGGGGCTTCACGTGTGTTGATGATGAGATCTCATTCTGCCAACTATTCTTCTATATATTCGCTCTATTACCGGTGAAGGTAAGTTCCAATATGTGGACTGTGCGCTAAGATCTCCAGCAAAAGGACCCCTCAATCACTATCTCAATGTATGCTTGGAATTTGAGTAGAAGTATATTAGGGGAGACATAGATTCCTAAGATCTTCCAAAACTTGAATAGGCATATCCATCGCCCTTTTCTAGGTATGATATTATATGTACATCACGAAAAACCATGTCACTTATTTCCGTCGTCCTGTCTGTCTGTCCGCTATTCCTTGACCCCTCTGTAACTTGGGAAGTACCTGTCGGATTTTGATGAAATTTTCACACAGCGTTACTACTATGCCAAGGATAAAAAACTTTGTAGTGTTGGGAAATCAGTTTAGTGGTGACGGAGTGCGAGGCGAAAAAGGGAAAAAATAAAAATCGGTCAAACTTTGTTTTCGACGTTTAAGAGGCTTCTAATCATTTTCTGAAATATTATTGTCGGGGTTGAAAGTTAGAGAAGGAGGGTTGTAGGGGGTAGGGGATTCTAAATGTCTTTGGTATCAGTCAAAAACGTTTTATAATTAGGAAGCTTCTGATACCGGTATCATCAGGAAAACTATATGATAATAGTTCGATGTATACTGTGCTCATAATTCGAAATGACTCGTTGGCGTTGCGTCTGCGGCACGATGCCGCTAGGCTGCATCATCGTGGAGGTCACTGCCAACTGTGGCAAGCGCAAACGGTTTTCGTGATTCTTAAATATACTCACCCATTTCGACTAACCTTTAATTTGTGTTACTCAGTATACGATGGTTTTCTGAATATTTATTTCGACAAGTAGATAGACTCAGTACTTATTTGCGCATTTACGAGGATATACAACAGACGCGGACTGACGAACCGACATAAATGAGAACATAAGGCTGAAGTTCGAATATTATCGCGAGTTAAATTCTTGCACGTTTAGGTAGTAGTACATTTTGAAAATTAATTCAGTCGGGGCGGTACTACGGACAAAAAATAAAAATCGCTGGAACATAGCATTACAACGTTTTAGAGATTCCTGCTCATTTTCAGACTGTTTGGAAGTGCTGAATATTGTAGTTTGCAAGCTGTATGCGGTAAATGGTTGTAACTTATTGTATGTTTGGTGGGAATGGAAGATCTATTATTAAGAAGCTGATATTTTCTCTACATCTGCTATCGAAACAGAAATATGATTTTATATAGTTTGTTATGTAGATGTCGAAGATTCGTCATACATAAGTATTGAAACCACATGACTCATCTCTTTAGTTCGAGACCTACAACGAAGGCGTAGGAACTATAGAGTCAATCTACTTGAAGCTATTTTTTGCTATTCATGTTCGTAGCTAACTTTGTCAGCGTTGGGTGTGCAATGCGAAGTCTACCCATTTGACGCCGAATATTTTTTATATTCTGAATAAACATTATAGATATGTATGTAAACTCATTATCATTTATCATTTAACCATAGCGAAGCATGCATCAATTTACAGACGCAGCTTAACATCTTAAAAGCTATGGCGTTTCTCCATCACATCGAATTTTATCCAGGAGCAAAACAGTTGAGCGCTTTTATATGAAAGATCAACAAAACTGACACGAATTCGTTTGAATTTCATTTCAGTAAATATTACATACATACTCGTATATATTCCAAACAATAATTTTAATTAAAACAAAACTGTATTAAATAACTCAATGCATATAGGTATAATAAAGTTTTTGTGGATGGAACTGTAATTTAAATAAATATTGAAACAAATATAATAGGAGATTTTACATTACGTTTTATATCCAGGAGTTTTGAAAAATAGGCAGATTGTAAATAGCAAGATTTAAATTTATAATAATGATCCTCATGTTAATTGGAACTGGGTAGTATATGTATATAAAATGTCGCTAAATAATAAGATACACAGTTTCGAAGTTGACTCTCGAAGTTCTCATTTCTCTACAACACAAGCTGCTTACGTAGTGTGGACATGAGAGCCTCGTTCTGAGGATGAGGTATGTGACTATATTCTATTCTTAATACAATATCTACAGGTCATTACATATTATTATTTCCCTATCTTATGCCATAATTATCTTGTGAGTTCTGTTCCATTATTTTGTTGTTGAATCGATGGAACAAACTTGTTCTGAGATTTTTGAAATTTTAGGTTCTATCGCCCACTGTCTGGAGGAGTATTCTTAATACTTTTCGTATGATTGTTTCACGGTGTGTACATATGACTAAAAACAACGTTATCAGTTTATCTTTTGGCAAAAAATGCGTTGCTTGTTGATCTTAATAGTACAGCTCTTAGAAAGTTGCATAAAAATATTCTACTCTTATGAATGAATTAAGGGGGTGATTATTTTTTTTATTACTTTCTCTCTTTTTCCGAGTAACTCTACTATTAAGGTGGTATTTTTCAGAGCTGTTAACTAGTTATATTTGAAGGAAATGCACATAAATGCTTTTTTTGACAAAAACAAATTGATAACATTGTTTTTTTAGTCATCTATATGAAACAATCAGATGAAAAGTATCTAGAATTCTAGTCCAAGCAGGCAGTTTGAAAAACCCAGTTATTTAGCTTCGCAATAGAATGTTAGAAACGTTTAGATTTCAGTTTATTGTACATTTCGGCCACCGCTGGCTGTGATGTTTTTCAAGTACAATTGACATCTGTGACAATATATTTTGTTTTGTATCTTCCAAGTGACATTTCGTTTCTTTCTATATTCTATATAGTGTGTTACTACAACAGTCTGATCGGTCTGAATGGTCCTGTACCATGCCGAAATTGCGCAAAACCATCAATGCAATTTTAAAATGGTAACGCGCATAAGCATCAGGACTACCTGTTAGGCACTCCTGCTGCCAAAATGACAAAGAGCATGATGTTATCTGTCGTTTTCTAATATACCAGTAACACCTAAAGTCCTCTGAAAACGCGAAAACCCACCTATGACATTACACCGGTTAATTGTTATGCAGCTTTCACAAGACAAACAACGTACATCTTTTCAGATTTTTTACACCGAAACAGCCGTGCAGCCAGAAACCTAAATGCCAGGGTACCGCGGCTGCTGTATGAAGCTCAAAGAAACTTTGTTAATCCAATGTTTTAACTGCCTTATGTTAGCAGAACTGGGTAAAGCATCCTCATCTAGATTGTTTCACATTCTCGATACTCAAGGACAAAAGAGTGGCCGTATTGGCCAGTTCTGCCTCTAAACAAATGGTCTAGCAATTTCCCATCAGATGCCGCTTTTGACGAGATGTGTCTCGGTGATTTGGGCTCCTACCAACCAAAATGAACGGCTCCTTGGTAGAACTCGGTCTTCCATCGGAACCGGGTGAGCGCTAGGACGCTTCTTGTTAGTCAAGGTACAGTACAGTATTTTGGAAGCATTAAACTGCACAACACTGTTGCGTCCCCAAGCAGTGATAACCTTCAGGTCTCTCGTCAGAGAAAAAGTCACTGCAAGGCTTATTTTTTTCAAGCCTAGAGTAAGGCTCAAAGCCTGCTTTTTGATTGATAGAGGGTATGCCGTAGCCGAAAAGCTTTTTTCTGGGTCCAAGTGGAAGAATAGATTTGTGTAGCTGAACCAAGTGATTTATGAAGTACTTCTTGATTTAATTTGGAAATTAAGGGCCCATTTCACACTATTCGTATAATTTTTTCCTAGTTTAAAAAACAGTTCAGAAGAAATCGACCATATTCATTAAACCCATTAATTCAAAAACGCCTTCTCATTGGTCGAATTTGTGTCATTGGCGCAATTTTTGTTTCCCGCGGGTCAATCATAAAATCTGGTTTTATTGACGTACTTTCTCGATAAATACGATGTTTTTTGAATTACTGAATTACTGAATATTAGGCGCATCTTTAACATAAGATACTTTTGTAATTATGAGAAACTACATATTGTATTAAGCAACTGTACTATCCTCCATTTCCTTTTATGGTGTTCGACAGTGTACTTTCAGCAGAATAGTGAATAGCCACTTTCCAGAAAACATGTTGACCATTTATCCAAGATTCGTTACCGTGCCTTCATTCCAATTTCCTCCACTCACACCTTGTTCGTTCGGTTCCGTACAGGTGATTACTATAACGGCTAAGTAGATACAAAAGGGCACAATCCCTTAACCACTCACACACGCTCCCGATTGATTGAGTCAGCTGATTAGATTCGGCAGGGCCATTCACAGAGTAATGTCTTCCTGTATAGTAAGTGATGTTCGAGTGGTACAATTTCCTGCGATAGTGGACAATAGGCTCGGGGTCAGTGGCGCCCTTTGGGAGTTTCGAAATGTCACCTGGAAAACACGAAACAAAATATATTGCACCAGATATCAATTGTACTTGAAAAACACCACAGCCAGTGGTGACCGAAATGTACAATAAAAAATCCGCCATTTTGATTTTACAAAATGTTAATACATAGTATCACTCGCACTGTTAGAACGAATCTAACACTACATAATACGTCGAAATCCATCAAGTCGTTTGGACTGTAGCTCGTAAAATATAATTTTTTGTTTATATGTATAGATACCCACCTGCGTCAAACATAGATGTCTTAAGGTGAGGCACTTATCGTAGCAAGCTGAAATTTTCAGGGTTTATTCTACTTGCATTAAAATGTTTTTACAATGAAATAAATAATGAATCACACTCTCAATTTTTTTACCGCCCGCCAAAGTTGAGGGATAGAAGAGATTTTTCACAAAAAAAGAATTTAAGATTTTTGGCGTTGATTTCTAATAAGCTCTGTTAAAAAGTGATATAACCATTTCTAAAACTGCCTATTTAGCTTATTTCAGAAAAAAATCACAGCCCTAAGCCTAATGGTTTAGTTGTAATTGCGATTGAAAGTTCATTATCCCGTTTTTTCGAAATTTCACAAAATTGCAAATATCTCCTGAACTATAAAAATTCGGACCAGACATATACGAGTTAATTCGATAGGTTTTGAGGCCCTCTATCACCTGACTACCGTTGATCCATTACTAACTTTACAGCCTGTATCTTCTTGAGGCACCTCTCTAATTTAAGAATGCCACTTCTACTGATGCGTGGGAACAAAGCAGCGTGTTAGTACCGGGTATATAAATACTTCAATCATTTTCAATGGCACTTCTATAGAAACATTCGAGCTGAAGCTAATGATTGGAGACAGAGCGCAAGCTGCTCGATTAGCCTTCAGGATTCTTTCTTTCATAAGGCCGTCCGTGCATACTGTTTTATTAAGATTGAGCCCAAGGTATCGTATTTGATCGAGGACGAGGGTTACGACTGTCGGCTCCTCAATCGCGCCAAATTGGATCTGATTAGAGTACGCTTATGCTCGTCTAAATACAATACACTCGGTTTACGGCTTATTCCAAGTAATCCCCCACCGATCATTAAGACATTGGAAATTTGTTATGATTAAGTATAGTATCTCCAAAGTACTGGCCACTGTTATTAAATTTTTCACTGTATTCCTCGTATGAGAAACTCCGCATCCATTGTTCATAGAATCGTATCGGAAATTTCGAAGCTGGCTGATGAGTGCCTTCCTGGAATATCGAATGATCGAGTCAAATGCCGAGGAAATGGAAAGGTAATGCTCGTAATAATGCTGCTCGAGCAGAATAAGGACGATATCAAAATGAAGAAGCTGCTCCCAGAAGTATAATGGAGTTTCATGAAGTATACGAACGTGCGAATAATGTGAATGAATTGTTCATGGCGGAGCTGGAACTTGTTGAAAAGTTTTTGATTTTCTGATTGGGATGGAGCATTAGGCAGTTAGCAATTAGTAGTTTTATAACAGATATAAGTTGATTATACCAAATTTGTTGAATACAAAGCTACAACACCCGTACCATATAATTCTCATGATCAATGTTTTCCTGCGAATTGAGCTAGTCTGGCTATGTTCGTCATAAAAGGTAGAAAGTGTAGCTGTGACGAAAAATGGAATACTACGAGGTTTGAATTCAACGAAGCTATCATTTTATTTCTCTCGTCAATTGGGATATTTTAGATTTTACATTGATGTAGTTATTATAGAGGGTGGCGCATCTAAAACGAAACAGACGCATTTACTGGCAGTTCAGTTTTTTGGAAATATGCTCAGACCTGTCGATATTGTTTACGAGGGGGACACAAGTTTGGCAAAAAATCACGCTAACACGTGCAGTCCCCTGGGCGGGGGTGACACCAACCCTAAAATCTTAAACGGAAAGGGGGGTCGAGTGATACCTCGTTTTAAAGGTCTTTCAATTCCCTTTATAATGGTGTAAAATACTTGAGCTTCAGTTCAGTAGTTTTCAAGATTTATTGATTTAAAGCTTAAAGTAGACTTTAATAGGTACATCAGATTAGTTTGTACTACTTTCAGAAGAAATTTGACTAAAGGAATTTACTTTATAAGTAAATGCTTTTCTTCACTACGCCCATGGTTTGTTTACCATTTTGTTGTTGAAAATAGCTATTTCAGCGTTTTTTTGTGGCAAAAAAAGTTATTTCTTGAAGAAAGATAAGGAAATATCTCGTACTTATTTTAAATAGGCATTTAGTACATAGTTTGCGATTGTTTTGATCAAACTTTTGATCGGCGATTACAATTTTGTGAAGATATGAGTGAACGAATTATAAACGATGCACATTTTCTATTCAACACTTGCTTTTTCGACGAATGTTCCTTTTTCTTAAATGGCGTAGTAAATCGTCATAACTGCCGATATTAGTCCGATTCTAATCCCAGAATTTATCATGAGGTTCATACACAGCAGCCACAAAAATTAAATGTTTGGGCTAGTATTTTTGGCGATCATTTAGTTGGCCCTTTTTGCTTACCTGGAAATTTGACCGGTGCAATGTATTTGGAATTACTGGAAGACGCCATAGATCCTGCATTATCAGCCATAATTGAAAATCAGAATGATCGGCGGTACATTGCGAAAAGGTTGATGTTCCAAAGGGATGGTGCCCCACCACGTTACGCATTACGTGTTCGACAATATTTCGATCAGACGTTTCCAGACCGATGGATTGGTAGAAGAGGTGCCATTGAATGGCCCCCAAGATCGCCAGATTTATCACCTTTGGATTTCTTTATGTGGGGTTATTTAAAAAGCAAAATCTATGCTACACAGCCAACATCATTAGAGGACCTGCGATAAAGAATTGTGAATGAGTGCCTTCAAATTACTCCTCAAATATTGCAAAATGTGCGGCAACGTTTTGAGCAAAACCTTTATTATTGCATGGAGAGTCATGGTGGCCATTTTCAACAATTACTTGCCTAACGGGTCAGTTCATTCTTTATTTTTAAATTACTTTCCTGCCAAATGTATTGATCTCCACTAATGATGATGTATAAGTATTAGTTAAGCTTTAAATCAATAAATCTTCAAAACTACTGAACTGAAGTACATTGCTTTTATATCATTATAAAGGGAATTGAAAGACCTTTAAAATAAGGTATCACTCGACTCCCCTTTCCATTTAAGATTTTGGGGGTGGTTTCACCCCCGCTTAGGGGCTGCACGTGCCAACGTGATTTTATGCCAAGCTTGTGTCCCCCTCGAAAACAAAATCGACGGGTCTGAGCGTTTTTCAAAAAAAACTGAGCTGCCAGTAAATGCATCTGTTTCGTTTTCGATGCGCCACGCTGTATATAGCTGTTACACACGACTTCGTCGCGTTAAATCGTTACAAACATACAACATTGTTTCTGAGTATTGCTAAAATTGCAATGTATTAGTGAAATGATGACATTTGGTTATTTTATTAATGGATCCACCTATAAACTGCGGTGGTAAAACCTCGGGGTGGAAAGCTAACAAATTAATAACATTACCAATTTTATGAAATTAGCATATTAAATTAAACAAAATTTTACATTGTAAATGCTACTTCCCTGCCAAATTTTTGGTTACACAATCCATTCTTGGTTCTTAGTATAAGTAAGCCGAATCTTATCTTGGCAATTTTTAGATATAAGAAAATTCCAAGCCATTGGTGGCATCGAATCACTTAATCCCAAAATCCGGTCTTTGCTGAAATGTCGTGTCCATAAGCTACCTCCCTGCCAAAATCCATGTTTGTACGTCAAACAGTTTCTGGGATTTCGTGATTAATGTATACCTTTCACTTTTATATATCTGTACCTTAGAGCGATGAGGGGTTAAGTCCATTTTTTTATAAATTCAGATTTTTGGCTCAAGCGCCATAGTCATATCTCCTTTTTGCAATCATAATTTGGTTTAAGTCCTAACAAAAAGGATAACTGAGTTTTTGGAATCATAAAAAGTTAAGTCTCAATATCACTGCGAGCTACAATAGTTTAAACGACCTTGAACCATTGTGCTATTAAATAATGAAGAGTTAAGTCATCTGATCCATTGCTTCTGCCGAGCGGTTTGGACATAACCTGCATACGCACTTTGACTCATACTGATTCAGCGGCGATACGATTCCTGGAATACTATTTGTACGAGGTTTTAAATTACCAAAAATAATATAACAATGACCGATAGACCGTCCAGAATGCTTCGAATGGCTCTAGGTCAAATTCCAACGACTTCGGAATAGAATAATACCGGAAAATCGAAATCGAGGGAATACAAGCAGGCCAAAACATTACTTATTGTAATGTATGGTCAAAAATCAAGCTTACATGTCTTCAAGGATGTCTGGAATCGAACAATTTCAATGATTAGGGATTCAGATTTTAGATGCAGGATTTCTAGTATTTCCAAAAAGATCTATCAAAATATTATTTCAAACTTTTGGATGTGCAGTTTGTATTAATTTGAGTGAAAATTTAGTGCCACAGTTTAAATACATCTAACGATTATGATATTAACTCCGAAAAATCATACCTGTATTTTTAGATGATGAAACATACTATGGTAATAATATTGAACAATATTGAATTATGGATGGTGAAGAAGTAACGAGACTGCTGTGCTACAATATTAAGGAATGACGTAGAACTGCAAGATAATTTAGTCCTTTTAGGTGAACCTCCAAGTACCTTAGCTATGATAAATTCAATAGAAAAAGGTAATATCTGTTTTTTTTTAATAGCAATATTCAAGTTTATAATATCTAAGTAAATCTTGGTCTAATTGCAGACAAAATTTGGACATTTTTTGCCAGGGGCTCGGTGCATAGGACGTCTAGGTGAATATTAATAATCTTTGGTATAAAGATATTGAAAATGTTTTCACTTATGTTGTACTTAGTCATTGCCAAGTGTTTATTTTTGGATGAATGAATAGTTGATCTTTCAGTTGAGAGTCATAAGGAATATTTAGATTTAAACTTTATATGCAACTTTGTTTACTCATCTCTTATACACCTTTCCTACATCATGCTCAACTTCTATTCACCCACCAATAATAAATGTAAGGTTGAACGATTTGATAGAACAGAGCCTTTAGGAGTAAATAACGGATAATCTCGATATTTGTCCAGGACAGTAAGGTAACTCATTTATTTTTATTTTCTTCAAGCCATATTTCTGGTATGTACTTTTATACTGCAATTTTTAACACCAGAATGCATTGGTAGCCCGTATACCATGCCTAATCTATTTTAGAACCTTGCAGCACTTAATCTTTCCGTAGACCACATTGCATACTACCGCCGGCTAAAGATTTACGAAATATGTGACTTACAAGGATCTATGTCTAAATCACTCGCAAACTCTTTGCCTCCAAACCATCACACTAGTTCTATTTTGATTCAGCAATAGAACTTTTGTTCACTTATGTCTGCAATTATAAGATCATCATCAATTCTAAGTAAGCATTGCTTTGGTTTACAGACAATAATATCCAGGAGGTATCGATTACTGTCGGGATATTGCCGATATCCCTATTGTAATTCTTGAAAATCCCTTCGATTCTACAAATATCCCTTCAGATTGTATCAATAAACAAGACTTGGAAGGCATTACTTTTGATAAAGGTACTGATACTGTTTATCAAGAAAATCTGATACCCACCTTATTACGAATTAAGTACCAAAAGCGAATGGAGAAAAACGAAATAGATGAGTCGTCTGACCTTAGTGATACTGTACATGATCCGAATTATGAAAATGAAGATTCTATGCCTGAATCAGATGATAGTGAGGTCAATCAGAGCGAAGACGCTAAGGAAGCATTGAGCGAAAAGGAAAATCATAATACGAGTAAAGACATGGAAAAGGAAAACGGGTAAGGAATGAATCATAATGGGCAGCAAACAAAAGAAAAAGGGCTCGGACTGCTGATTAAGAATGTACGTCAAACAGAAAAACTAAAATCCGTGCTCCAAACTTAAAGCTAGTTGTAATGAAACCTGTAAGTTAAAATGTCATGAGGTTTTCTCAAATGGAGAAGAAAATATTCTACAGTCTTTTCGGAATGAGGATGTCGATTACGATAGGAAAAGACAATTTGTGGCTTCCTGTACTGAGGAGGAGGAAAAAGAAGTGTCTCTTACATTTATTTCTTAACCAGCAATGGTTCAAAGAAAAGGGTATGCAAAAGATATTTTTTAAATACTTTAGACATATCACAAAATTTCGTGGATCACGCTCTGCGTAAGACTTTACCTGGAGGTATTATTAAAGGTGATTTAAGAAAAGGTCACATACCACAAAATAAAATACCAGATGAAATAAGTCAGGGTATAAGAGACCACATAAATAAATTCCCTTTCTATGAATCGCACTATAGTAGAGAGAAATCAACCCGAAAGTATTTAGAATGTGACTTGAATATAACCAGAATGTATCAGCTCTATTATGGCGAAGCACTTGCATCTAATACTTTGCCTGAACATATTGGCAAGCTGTGGCTTTATCGCGATATATTTAACACAAAATTTAATTTGTCTTCTTAGATGCCCTCAAATTATATTTGCGATAAGTGCGATTCATTTACTATAAAATGAAAAGATCACACAGATCTCATTCATCGTCAAGTTTTGCAAAGTGATTACGATAAACATATCGAGGACGCTCAATTTAGATACAGGATGGAGGCTGCTGACAAAGAAAGTGCGAAAAATGCCAAAAAAAGTGATCATGATTGATCTGGAAAAATGTTTGGCAACTCCTTTATTGAAAAATTCCCAGAGCTTTGATTATCTCAAGCTGTGGACCTTCAATCTTAGCATTCATGACTCAACAGTAAATAAAACATTTTGTATGATGTGGGATGAGACGGTGGCAGGACGAGGTGGGAACGAAGTTGCATCTGCAGTTTTAACATGGTTAGAAGTTTCAAATTTGGATCCACAGGTAGAAGAATTAACAATTTGGTCAGACAACTGCCCATCTCAAAATAGAAATTTGATGATGGTTCTGTGCTACTTCCACATTTTCAATATATGCCCCAATTTACGTATTGTAAATCATGAATATTTACTTAGGGGACACACGCACCTTGAGGCTGATACTGATCATGCATTAGTTGAGAAGCAAATCAAGAAAAGTCCAGCTTTTCAAATAGCCACCCCATGGGACTGGCAACAACTTGTCAGAATAACATCTCCAAAATTCACAGTTATTGACATGAGCCTTAAAGATTTTTTAAACTTTACGAGCTTGTTCAGTGACAAAAATTCAGCTTTCATCAGATGTAGAAAATCTGAAAGCGGCGATCTTTTACGTATTTCTGAAGCTGTGCGTTTTCAAGTAAAAAGTGCCAAGCCTGGACATCTATTTTTCAAAACAAAATTTACTCAGGCTGAGTTCGAGGAGGTGAATTTTAATCGGAGACATAGCCAAAATGCTTGTAATCTAATACTGCCACCCATAAGAGAGTGACCGAAAGCTATCTCCACAAAAAAATATAATCATTTAATAAGCCTGCTTGAGTGGGTACCCTCAAGATTCCATCAGTTTTACAAAGACTTTAAGCACAGTGAAAATGCCAGGGATAAAGATGAAGCTTAAGTCCAGTGTGAATATGTCACAAATGTATAAGTACAATTAAGTCCTATGATCTCATAATGTCTCGAAGTTAAGTCCATTATTATTGTGGATTTTGTAAAAATCAATAAACTATTGCTAGGCAGCAGCGGTGGCCGCAGTAGTAGACTCTCCGGTCTCCTGATCAGTCGCCGTGCGCTGTGCGGGTTCGAGTCCCGTCCCAGGAGAAACTTTTCTCTTGGCTATGGATGCTTTGATTGTCCGTAGGTGGTAGACGGTCTCTAACTGTCGAACGCGGAGGTACCACCCGGCGGATCTCGTAGGCGGAGCCAGAATGTGTGCATGTTGCATGCACACGTGTTCCCTCGCCAGAGTCCGTGTGGCGTTCCCCCTTTCCCATGTATCCCCCTATAGCCCCACGGTACCCAATGGGTGCTTAGGCCTTAGGGCTTCGTGGAAGTTGGAGTATAAAAAAAAAACGGTATTTTATTTATCTACTATAATGCTGATAGTATATTTCCCGTAGCCGTATGGATGATATGATACAATGAATGTCTTGTCGATCTTCAGGCGGTCATACTGGAAAATCATGTTTTCGGATTTAACTCCTGTTCGCTCTCAGGTAAATAAGGGCAAATATATATATATATATATATATATATATATATATATTTGCCCTTAGCTCCCTTAACACGGCTTTTTGAGCCATCTCGCAATATTAGTTCTCAGCTAACACAACCTGTCCATAAGCTACCCCTCTGTCAAATTTCATGCCCATAGGTCAAAAAGTGTTTGAAATAATTTCTATAAACTTGAAACATTAATGTTCTCCATAGAAATATTTAACCCCCTCCTTCCCCATCTTGAGTATACAATCTCTGAAACTCTTTATTAATGTGCAACGTGCCAAAATCACGTAACCTTTTTTACGATTTTGATTATTAACCAGTAATTTGAATTTCTCTTTATTAATGGTGGTGTGACGATTCCTAGGCCAAACCCTTTTTAATGACTTTCTTTTGGCAAATTTCATAGATTATTGATTGTATACTTTCACACGTATTATATCTTTCTTTCTTAGCGACTCAGTATTTCGTTCAAATCTTTTGGACACTAATGTTATGATATTTTATTAACGACTATCACAGGAATTTTCATAAAATATTGCAAAACATTGTGGTTATTTGGTTTCCAATGGAACTTATCTTCTTCAAGGCCACTCATTTAACCTTCTTTTAAAAAGTTGGGTGTTCGGCGTCACTTTATTAACTAATATTAACTTTCTGGGATATTAGGCCCCAAAGACCAGTTTATGGAGTAGCACCTTCTTATTTTGTACCTTACGTTTAGTTGTTTTGGTTTGGGTGCTACCTCCTCCATTTTTTACGGGATTTTAACATTTAGCGTGGGAAGGCATTGCGGATAACCACCATTCACATTCTTCCAGATTTGCTTTGTAGCTGCCTTGTAGCTGTTTTGGAGCCGATTTTGCTGGAAGCCACCCCTTCCCTTGAAAAAATGGCCCTATAGGCTGGGCTTAGGAATTTGTCGGTGGCACGAAAACTGCCAGTGCTAAACGTCCATCACGTGTCCACACTTTACATCATCGGAGCTTTACCATCCGAACAACCTGGCTTAGATAAGTAAATCGCTACCATGTTGAGTTTAAATTGTTAGATTTTTCTATATATCTATTCCTACTGTTAAGTGGTGGTTTAGGTTATGCAATGTACTGAATAATATTATCCTTTGTCCTGGAGGGATTAGTTGATTACTCTTGTCTTTCCTTGTCACATTCATCCAACTATTTAAAGGATCATAGGAGTTTGTCGATTGATAACTCCCTTTGTTCAGTATAATTATTGAATTACGTTGTCTTATCTTACCTTGTCTTATTTTACGTTCTGACCTGTAGAAAGAGAGGACAAATTGTTGGGTTTGGGCAGATAGCTTGGCGGAAAACTTGATGTCTGCACATATCAACAAGTGGAAAAAGAACCCTGATGTGAACAGGTAAAATATCATTCTAATTAAATATTCCTACGTGGACCTAGAAAGTATCAGAGAGTAATTCGCTCCGCCCACCAGATTTATCCCAAAATCACTTTTATTTTTCTCTTACTTTATTCGAGATGAGATTCCAAAATAAATAGTTAGTTCCACATTTGCTCGTTATGAGCGCTGTGAGCGTTACCAAAAGCGTCATCTTTGGAGGAATGAATAAACGACACGACACGCTCAGTGACCATGCTGCAAGCTGCAAGTCAGTTCTCCGGCATGCTTTGTCTGTTGCAGAATACCGAGAGTCTGTAGAGTATATCAATAAGAAGATGTTACAGAAAATTTAAAATTGTTTGAGTAGCGAGATTGCATCTGGATGATTGTATGGTGCCTGTCTGTATTGGTCTATATGTGTATAAAATCAGTGTGATATTTGTTATGAGAGAAAATTATTTCTGTTTGTATATGTTAAGTATATCTATTAGCTGTACCAGACGGGTTATTTGTGTTAAGCTTTCCGAACAAAAAAAATTACAATTTTCTCTGGACTTTTTGCGTTTTCAAACACTTTGAGAAGCATTCCGGGAAATCACAACCGTGCCCGCGTTAATTGTAATTAAGCCACACATAGAAAAATAACGCATCATTCACAAAACATTTCATTTTCTAGTTGATATCACAAAATACATTTCTATGAGATTTAGATGAGTGGAAACAAGAAGTAATGTACCTTTTAGTATGTATGTAACCTTTTCACGTTTCATAAATATTCCAGTCTGTAGGTTATTGTCTCGTCTGTCTCATTGTAATACCTATACATCACTAACGAGACAGTTTCTTTTTTATCTTTCTCATTTTTTAAATTCAGCAAGTGCGTATGTAATTTCCAGGATGAAGCATAAATCTCAAGTAAGTGTATTTGAGACAAGAAAGTAAGAGAATTATCATCAATACAGATTATTGCCACACAAATCCTCACTATGCACCTATGCACTGACCTTTCCTTCCAGCTAGAGTATACAACTTACAGCTTAGACCTCGAATAATACCATCTCTGAAGCAGATCCTACGTCATATCAGAACTAAACATTGGTGGCTAAAGCAACATGATGTTTAGGCAACACATACAGCTACAAAACGAGCACATCAAGTGATCGTCAGCTAGTTTTAAGTTAAAATCTTGTAGAAAAACCCACATCATGTCATAGAAAATCAATATAATGTCAAAAAACCGACATAATGTCACTTTTCAAGATACGTAATACCCCTGCCCATAGCGGCGAAGATTTATGGTTACAAAATAGAACCAAAATCATTCAAACTTCGTTTTTTGACGTTTCTGAGGTTCCTTCACGTTTTTGAAATCTTATTGATGGCTAAAAAATTGGGGATAGCTGCACTGAAAAAAAAAAGTTTTATCAAACCAAATAGAAATTTAAACAGGCCAAAATCAGGCAAAAATATAGTTAACTATGTGACGTTTAACAAGTTTAATTAGTCTAATCAAACTCCGATTCCTAAAACAGTTAGTATATTTATTAAACAGTTTACTTAGATTGAGTACACCAATTTGTTAAAAACTAATTAACTATTAAAAAATTACCTGCTTCAAGTAAAACAATTTAATTATATTTGTTAAACTTATACTGATGTTTATGAATCAAAATAAAAACTTCCGCTAGCATAGCGGCCATCCGCGGCAGGCTTATACTATATTTTGTTTGCGCTCTACGCGGGTATCGAAAATATATATCGTTTTAAGTCTTGAAGGGAATTGTACCGAGGAATATACACACAATGAAGCACAGTGGCACATCAACTATGTTATCTCGGCATGGTACTGTTTCTGTGACAAAAAATGCGTCTAGTAGGCTGAGCCTGCACTTCCTACTCATCAGTTCATAAAAGAGTAAGTTCAGCACAAGTTGAACCCTCTGAGACAGAAATTAGTTATGAACATGAATAATACAAGAATTAAACGGATCAAGTCAGTCAAACAGGCCCATTAAAATAGTCCATAGACATTCTTTCTCCTACCGTCCATCTGGAAATAGTTGAACCTTCTGGCAGCGCCCACCGAAGCTTCGCCGCAGTACGAGCAGAACAATCAAGCAAACCGTTACGCCACGTAACGAGCCCAGATAACAGAAGGAGACGCGCATCGAAAACATTCCCCTATCATTCTAAGTTTCACAGACAAACGTACGGGGACACATATGATATGTGATATATGTCTAGTAGGTGTGTAGAATTACAGCGCTAGAAGAGCTAAACTAACGTCAAAAATTGAGATATACTCTCACCCACCCCACTACAAACCACACTGAGAAAACGCGTCAATTAAACAGTTTTTCCGGAAAATGTTCATTACCGAAATACATTTTTTAATTATACTAAGAAACTAAATTATTCGGACTAATCAAACGGAATTTTCTGGAAGCAGTTTAATTGGAAATAGCAAACCGGTTTACTTTATGTAGAAATGGTAGATTTGAGACAATTAAACATTTTATTAAAAAAACTTTAATTGAATCGCGGAGTCGGCAGGACTCGGCCCTTAGTACGTGGATCATCAGGAGTATGTGACAGGTGCAGTCCCGGTGACACGCTCCGAAGTCGTCAGTTTCATTTGTCATTTTCGCGAGGAGCTCAATATTCGAATGTTGCCGTTGTTGGTGTAGAAGTTGTGAAGTGGATCAGTTATGGTGATCAAGTGGGATACTCGAGCCACAGCCGATGTCAACTACGAGCCGTGATGAAAGAAAGACAACACCGTGCTCTGACGGGATGGTAGAGCTACTTGTGATATGCTGCGTCTGACGTCCAAGAACCGCAATTTTGGAGAATAAGTTTACAGTATGATTCGATACAAATAGTCTGAATATGAAATAGCT